CCCAATCCCCCAGCGTAGGGTAGCAAACCAGGCATGTGCCTGGTTAACCGCCCTGCCTTCTCTTTTGTTGTTTTTGTCCTTTGCCTTGCATTTTTTGATAACGGCATTCAAGAGAGGCAAACAGGCAGCGTCGAAACAGCTGATTGCAAGCCTGATAATTTCGTGGACAGCTAGTTTCCTTGTTTCTTCTCTTTCCCGTAATCGACAAAAAAAATACACCAAAAGAACGCAGGACATCGCGTATTTCCACAATCGCGACGTGCGGAGAAATTAGCATGCATGCATGGTTGTCTTGCATCCCGAAGGTTTAGGATAGGAAATCTAGTTTTTCCACCGAGTCGTTACGTTGTATGAGCAAATGGGGCCGGTGATTATGCATGGCTGCGCATTTGCTCGTGTCGACAACGTGCACACTCGTCTTTTTTCTTTATCTGCCCCTGGCGTCAGCGCCAGGGTTTTACGCAAAGGGGTGTACGGCAGCTGTCACTTATCCTTAAAGATGTAGTTTTACCCTTTTTCCTTGAGCAATTAGGTAGATAATTTCTGCAGGAGTGTTTAGTCGTTTCGACGATGTTTGCGGCGTTTATCTTTGCTCTTTTCCTTATTTTGCATGGCGATGTAGCACTAAGATGTATGGGCAACTTCAGAGTCGGATACCTCAATCAGTTAACGCAACAATACAAGCAAGCGAACCAAGGCTAGGCAAGAAAACAAATGTTTAACATATGGCATTGAGATTCAGTGTTCGGGGGCCTATACTATGGAGCTGCGTGTTACACGCCCTCGTGTGTATCCCACTGTTTAAACCAACTGCCTGTCATTTAATTTTTCACATACTCTTCCCTGTATACCACGCCCATTGCTTTTTTTTTTGCTTCGTTCTACTAGCAGAGGTAGGTGTTGCTTTGCTTCGTCGCTTTGCACATCCATGTTTAGCACGCATTTGAAATTGAAGTGTATGTGTTTGCTTTCAAGGCTGCGATGCATAGTCAGCGGTTTTCAATAAATTTCACCTGCCTGGCGCACACGTCCATGTGCTTGTTCTCGTGCAGCCGTAGTTCTAAAATGTTTCTCTAGTTCTAAATGTTTCTAAATGCTACGACCACACCCTGTGCGGGACTCGTTTGCCCACACACTGACGCTAACAGCGGACTCTAACTGGAATGCGGGTGGGCGCGTCTCGTTTGTAAGCTCGCGTTTTAGGACTCTATGTGAGCGTGTGGGACTTTGTCGCGACACCTCTGAAACATATTCCCTGCAACATGGTTACAGTATTTATAATTTTATGTTAGTTAAATAGAAACTGCACTGGGGCTCAGCAGCTGCTTCATGTTGCCGTAGTTCAAACTAATGTTGTTAAAGCGAAACTAAAGAGAAACAATGACTTGGTTTAGATAGACAAACTGCACTGTGGGAACTCTAATGCCATGTTTCACTATCATAAGTTCATAATTAGTGAAGAAAATCAAGGCTCAAGTTTCATTTCTCAATTTCGCGCCGAAATCTCCGCGCGTGACATGAAGACACCAAAATGTATTTTTTCACATTTTTGCGAGATTGGCTCAATGAGTTTTTTTTTTCTTCTGTAACTTCGTATGCCAGCTCTGTGGCACCCACAGGTGAAAATGTATATCATTTTTATCTATTAAAAGCTATGTAAAACCCAGTAGACGCCTTCAAAATTTGTGCTCGGCTGTTGACCCGCAGGTCACGGGATCGAATTCCGGCTACGGCAGCTGCATTTCCGATGGAGGCGGAAATGTTATTGGCCCGTGTGATCAGATTTGGGTGCACGTTAAAGAACCCCAGGTGGCCGAAATTTCCGGAGCCCTCCACTACGGCGTCTCTGATAATCATATGGTGGTTTTGGGACGTTAAATCCCACATATCAATCAATCAATCAATCAATCAATCAATCATTCAATCGAAATTTCTGACGTCACAATGTTTGGTGCTGGAATGCCAACGTTCGTCTCCACCCGCACTCTCTTATGGCGCATTTTCTGGTTAACTAAGCGTCGTGTCGTAGTAATAGTGGTGTTTCAGGGTTGTGAAATTGTACTTTACCAATATGCGAAAAATCGTTTTGCTCTTTAGCGTCCCTCTAAATTATTTCGCGAAGGACGACGTTCCAATTGGCGAGTTGCCAGTCATAGCTTCCTCAAATGCTCACAGAATTTGTGCGCAAGAGCTGGGTGACGGTGCAAGTGCTGGCGCTGTGTTGCGCGCACTTTGTTCTGTAGGAGGTGACTTCTCATTTCCACTCTATTTATTCTTGCACTTATTCTCCCCAGGCACGAAACATTGCTGCGCCGTGATGCCTCCCTCTCCTCAAACTACTAATACGACCTTGCACCAAAGCCTCATACATTTGCAACCGAGCCAACGATTGATGTAGTGGCTTTAACTTTATGGGGAAAATTAAGGAAGACAATGCAAGGAAGACAACGAGGAGGGGCAAAATGAATAATTTAGATTAGTAATAATATGTGCCAATCACTTTCTTAAAGTACAGTGCGAGTAAAAAGAGAACGAAAAGAAAAAAAATAAAGACTGGTGCGAAAGCAGCCAAGATATACCGAGAATGATACATAAATTTGCTCCGCCGTATAGACAGGTCGAAACTCTGCATATATATTGATACAGTCACTCCCTGCAGTGAGCCACGTGAAATTTTTGGCAATTGTCAGCACAATATCTCTAACTGAGATCGAGGTCGACCTTATGTCGGCTTCGTGGGGCTATCCACCACTAGCACCCCGAATCTATTTATATATGTGGGGGACAGGCGTACAGAGCGCAGATAAAAAAAAAAAAACAGCGCTGCCGCGCTGACGCTTTCTCTCGCTCAGATGTCCGTTCTAGCACGGGGAGGCATCCTTACGCACGCCCAAAAAATCGGGGATTACCAAACTTTGGTCGACGCCTAAGCATTCTGGTATTATGCGCAGAGCTGCTAAGCATACACAGGGTTGCTAAGCATGCGATCACTTAGAGTGAAGAAATGTATCACACCGACGGTGACATGTACAATGGGACGGCCGTCGAAGCCCCCTGCATGGTTCTCAAAAATCAAGCACAGAGTGATTTGTCAGAAGGGAAGCTCGCTTCGCAATGCAGGCTGCGGCCTGTGCCGCTCCTCAGCGTGACCACAGGCGACGACGTCTGCAGGCGAACCAGGAAGTATAGGGAATTCGGCCGCTGCCGCACACCCGGCCGTCGCTGCGAATTACAGAGTGCGCAGGAACAACTCGCTGACTTTCATAATTGCAGGTAGCACGCTGCACTCCGCGCACGGTCTGTGCGCAGAACAAATCGCCCCCCTCTGAACGGCTCGTATTTAACCCACCGGGCCCGCGGCCATCGACAAAAGGGCGCTGTCGAAAGCGCGCGCGAGCAGCACGGACAAGATGGATGGGGTCGTACCGATGCGACGATGTAATTACCGCCCATTTTTAATAGATTCCATTTCGACTTTAACCCCGGCACTTAATGTCACCAGACTTGGGCGAGGGCAAGTTTGCTGGGACTGCTCCCAGTAAACGAGCCGTAACGATGCCTATCTACGTAATCACACGCCCTCCAGAGGGCGAGCTGATCGCGTCGTCTAAATAGGAAATCGCTCGTGGGTCCTGCCCGGGTGCATTGGCTGCTCGTAAATTGTTCCAGCCACAAGTAGGCAGCGAAATGTCGACAGGCGCACCAGAGGAGGCAGACGATGCTGAGACGGCGCCCCGCGAAACCGACGCGCGCGATCGATCCATTAGCTCCGTCCGATATAGGCGCTCGCGCACGCTCAGCCGATTATGGGTCGCGCTGAATTCGCTATCGAACGGCTGCACGTTTCGTTTTCTTTCGAGTGAAACATCGAGGCTTTGACAAATCAAGCTCTTTGCGGGGCAGTAGTGCGCAAGGTCAGGATTTAAGGCCGCGTTCTTGTTTGATCAATCAGTTTACGGGGATTACGAACGCCAGGGCGTTAGAGGTTCATGTGTGCGCTGGTGTGAATGCGCTATAGCGCGTACGAAGACTTGCATCTTTATGCATTATTATTGATCAACGATGAAGAGAGAGTTGTAATTGGTATGATTAATTAAATAATTAAGTAATATTTCATTGATTCATTCATTGATTGATGTGTGGCGCTTAATGTCCCAAAACCACCATACGATTACGAGAGACGCCGTAGTGGAGAGCTCCGGAAATTTCGACCACCTGGGGCTCTTTAACGTGCTCCCAAATCTGAGCACACGGGCGTATAGCACTTTCGCCTCTATCGAAAATGCAGCTGCCGCCACCGTTATTCGATCCCGCGGCCCGAGGGTGATTAATAGAATTATAACCCACCGGTTTTGTAAGGTGCGCTTCGTCATTTCTCGAGTGTCGCAGGCAGCCTTTTGCCCCCTTCTTTCACACGGCTTACTCGAATTTATAATTGCAGCTGCAGAAGAAAAGTAAAAAGAGAGAAAGAAAATGCATCGTAAATATTCAACGTCGTTTTGCGGTCTCACCTGACCGAATCAGCATACGTTGTGGGCACCGGCACAGTATAGTTCTCAGTTTGTTGTCTTTCCAGCAGCGGGAACGATACGAGCAAGAGCCTTGCATGCCCATTAGCAGGCGATGGCTTTTCCGGCCTATGAGCGATCGGCTCATTGCACACCAGGGCACGGCCATTTACGACTGTTCACCGTCTTATGTGATGTAACTGTATACCTGCGGCCAAGTCTGCCACCCGCAGCAGTGGCTTAACGGCTACGGTGTTGTGACATTGAGCATAAGGTCGCTGGACTCTTTTCCTGCTCTAGCAGCCTGGTGCAATCTCATGGGAAACGTAAGCTAAAACGTTTACAAAAAAAGGGACAAAAATATTCCTGCGCACTGAGCTAAAGCACCTCTCGTTGCCCTTGTGCTGCTTTGGATTTTAAAATCTCCTAATAGACTAATCGTTGTATGGTTTAACACCTGTAAACGCTAACATTACTGTAGCCAAACAAACGTATTCCACTTTCAAGATGTATTCATTTATAGATAAACAGAATACCACGACCTTATACGCATCACAGGCTTGGAAAGAGACGCATGCGTGGGTGCCGTTCTTCATGCCGACTGGCATCGGCGATCGAGGCGTAATGAACTGCCACAGGTGCTCCGCACTGATATGACCTTTCTCCTTGCCTCGTCTTTACTTCTATCCTTCAATCTCATTTTATATGTGCAGGGTAGCGAAGCGGTAGTGCGTTGGTTCGACGTCCTCTCCTTTGCGACTTTTCTTTCTCATTTTGCCCTCCTACGAAAAAGAAAAACGAAAAAAAAAATTGCCCGCAGCTTCCCTCGGGGGAACACTGAGGAGGATGCGGACCATATAATTGGTTAACGGGGTGTTAAAGTGCGACTTACTTGGGTCGATGGCTAAATTGGTTAACGTGGTTGTGAAATGGGGTGTTAAATTGCGACTTACTTGGGTCGATGGCTAAATTGGTTAACGTGGTTGTAGGAGGGGGTGTTAAATGAGTGAACACGTACACACGTATGCGAAAGGGCGGCGCTGGTCGAAGGGACGTCGATCATTGTGTTTGTGGATTCGTTGGAATTCATTTCACCGCGACCTTGGACGTCGACGCGCCGTACAAACCAACCGACGAGCGGCAACTGAGCGAGCGAGCGCCGACCTTGAGTATATATACAGCACGACGGCGCATGCACTGTCAGCTGTTGAATGTTCTCGAAGCGCGACGCCACATGCGCGTCCACTGGAGAATCAGGAGAATTGTAGATGTCGAACGCGGTGTGTAGAGGAGGAAGGGTGCACAGATGGTGGAGGAGAGAAGCGCGCGCGGTGTGTAGAGGAGGAAGGGATGCACAGATGGTGGAAGAGTGGGCGACGGCGCGACGGCGCATGCACGCGCGTCAGCTGTCGAATGTTCGAGAAGCGGTGCGGACGGCGCGGACGGCGCGGACGGCGCACTACAAGGCGCGAGTATAAGATGCTCCGCATCTAAAACGAAAAGGAGCTATCGTAAATGTTGTCAAACAAATTTGTGCACTCATTTTCACTAGCTTGTGCTAGTGTGTGATGGTCCACGACAATCTACGCAATCTTTCATTTGAATATAGTGACTTCTGCGATGGCAATTAAGCCTTGCAGGTGCATTATATTATACCTACAAGTCCATATTCCTTTTTTTATTACTGTGATATTCATTGTTCGCTTGCAGACAACACCAAATAGGTCTACGTAAAGTATAGTCGAAACTTACTAGCTGTACTTTTATCCACTTGCAGATTCTTCTTGCACACAAATGTTCTACTATAGCCCATGAAGCTTTTTGCAGGCGTAGTTAGGGGATTAATGCAGCTTTCGGTGAATCTAGTGTTGCATTGCTGCATTACTCGACCGAGAGTTCCTTTCTCGAAGTAGTCTAACTTTAGGTATTTGCTTTACAACGGACAAAAATTTTCCGCATGCCGGAATCATAGTGATAGAGACGCCGGTCGTTTTAAGGAAGCGCCACAACTAAGCCGTAGCAATCACTCACGGTCGTGAGAAGGTCGTCATCTTTCTCCAGCGTTTTACTCTGACCAAGGTGGTCCCAGGGAGCACTTGACAAACGACCTAGGACGTCCAGGTTGCCAGTGACTGAAGCTTACAGAGGCGAGCAATAAAATAAAACGCAAGTGTTGCCGCTGTTTCGCAGACGTTCCTGGGTATATATCTTATTTCACTCTTCCTTCGAAGATGAAGGAAGGCCCCAAGGGTCTTGACTGCGCCTGACCCGAGCGGGGAGGACCACCGCTCCGCAGTTATGGTGCTCCTCAGGGGTGCGTGGCCCGGGGTCCGTGGGAAACACTTTCCTTGAAAGCACTGCACACTTTAATGAAGACTGTGGCTTCGCTCCAAGGGCGCGCGGCGGCTAGTGCGGGGTGTAAAGTGTACTCGCCGAAGACAGCCTTCGCTCATTCCGGGCATCGCCAGTCGTCGTCCTGAACACCCAGCCAAGAGCATAAAACGCGTGCATCTCCCTTTTCACACTGGGGGCCCTCGAGATAAGCGCACGCCAACATCGGCCGAGAACGGCGCTGCCTAGCACGCGCAACTGGATCGCGCTCCTTCGCGCCTGACACATCCTATCGTCGTCGACATCGTGACGCTGCCCAGCACACCTTGGCGGACCTCGCGTACGTTCCTCCTTACATGCCGGGGGAGAAAGGGAGAGGGGAGAACGCAACAGACACGATCTCCTCGTTGAGAGCAAAGAAAAACCGAGAAAACGATGCAAACAGAGAAAAACCAGGACGACGGGGAACGCAAACTGGATCTGGCCTCCGTGTGCGCGGAACGGAAGAGCAAGTAGAAACACTCAAGCAGCGGGGGGATAGAAGCGCGCTTTATCGCCTTTTAATAAATGACGCCGGTCGCAGAAACGCATCACATCGTTTATGGGATCTCTGAAATGATGCCGATGACAATGTTACCGGTCGTCCGATAGCCGAGGGAAAAACGAGGGAGCCTGCCAGGCACGCCCGAGGCATCTCTCCTGTCCCCGGGGGCACCGCATCATTGGTGGTAGTGCCACTATTGTAAAGATTCTCGACATGTCTTGGAAATCGCTCTGAGACTTTTGCCGCGATCAGTTTTTTTTTCGCACCTTCTCTACGCGTTCCTGCGAGGTATCACATTATAAGCTTCACTGTAGCCCGCATGCCATCACTATAGTCGTAGCACACCAACGCCACTGGGTGCTGCTCTACCGCGAGGCTTTACGTTTCGATGACGTTTCTTGCATTGAGAAGACATTCTAAACGGGTCATCAGCCGCGATGATCAGCAGCGGGTGATCAGCAGCGATGATATGGGAGAGGGAAAGAGCGAGATAAAGAGAAAACGGCAAGATTAAAAATCGAATTCAAGCTGTTCCGAAATGAAAAACTGTGAAACTGGCAAAACTAATGTAGTACTGTATATTGTTTGCATAGTATCACTGAGAGCAAGGTATTGAAGTACTATTCTCGACAACTTGTGCAATGTCGGGTTACAACTTATTTTACCTGCCCTCATTCTATCAACAATAAGCATTTGTCAGTGATGTTTCCATGAACATGTGTTTCCTTTATTTGTTTCGTTTTCCATTTACTCTCTAATTTACCACCATCATACTTTTAAATATCTCTTTGCTTCACCACCTAGATAAACCTCAATAGCCGAGTTAGACGTTATCTCAACCTCTCCACAACAGCCCATTTATAATGAGGCAGAACATATCTATGCAAGCAGATTTATAGCATTACGCAGGTGCGCACTTCCACAACAACGCTTTCGTTTCTTTTCTTTTCGATGAGTGAGAGTGAACACTCTTAAACGTAAACTGTTTTCATTGAGCAATCACAGATAAGAGGGTGGCAACGCCCAACCACCTCACCGCGGTGGTCTATATATAGTGGCTAAGGTAATCGCCTGCTGACCCTCAGGTCGCGGAATCGAATCCCGGCTGCGGCGACTGCATTTCCGATGGAGGCGAAATGTTGTAGGCCCGTGTGCTCAAATTTGGGTGCACGTTAAAGAACCCCGGGTGGACGAAATTTTCGGAGCCCTCCACTACGGCGTCTCTCATAATCATATGGTGGTTTTGGGACGTTAAAACCCCACATATCTATCTATTAACGCCCAACTGTAGCGCACGCCATTTAGAACGAATTCGAATTACACTTCGCTCATTCCGGAGCACCGAATGTGTGAAAAAGCTCGTAAGGGCCTGATAGTGTTCCCCTCGCACAAGCATTTACACGCTGTTACCAATGGCGTGAACAGCAAGCTCGGCGCCGCAGATATGGGCGTCAATCTAATATGAGAGTCGGCTTTGAACACCGCATATACGGGCGCGCACAGTGCTCGATAAAGCGCACGGGCATACAGTGTTTCGGCCGGAACACGCGGGAAGTCCCCCGACCTGGTCTCTGGGGCGTCCTTTTAAGATATGCCCTAATCTTGAAGAGCTGTCTACAACGGTTGCGCCGAGCGAACACAGCCTGTGTGGTGCCTCGCGCAAGCCCACGCGTCCCTAGCCGATATCGAAGACGCCCTCGCCGAGTAGCATTCTCTCGCCAAAAAGCAAGCTCTGCCGAGACACGGCGCGAGTGCAGGTCGTTCATCATTGAGTTAAAACACGCAGCCAGCGATAAGCGGCCCAGCCTTGCCGTCCCCCGTCATTACGTCTTGGGTGCGGACAGCACCGAAAAAGGTGGCCGTGGCGACTGGCCGCGTTATCAGCCGGTGCATGCGCAGAGAGACGGAGATGGCGGTCGTAAATTGGACCGAAGACGACCGTGTTAGTCGTCGAGCACCGAAACTATCCGACGCCGGGTTGTCGCATCCCGGGATGCGACAGTCTCGGCCGACGAAAGCTGAGGCGCTGGTTGCGAGGAGGAGCACTCATTGCGCTCCCTTCGTGTGATCAGCGGAGGTTGCTACTCGGAGCAGCGGAGAGGAGGTGTGCATGCAGTCGCGCATGATAAAAATGAATCGACAACGGCTGCACGCTATGGTCGCTATTAGCAGCTACTCGGAGGCGGTATTTCGGTCCTGCTTTTTTGTTTGTTTGTTTCTTTGCTTCCGTACCCTCTGGGCGAGCCACTTCGCGAGTAAGACGCGCCGCTGAGGACGACCGGGTGCGCTCGCTCTCTCTTTTGCTTTCTTTCTTTTACGACGCCACAAAACGACTTCGATGCTTCCCAGTGGCTCCCGAAGGCTCGGGAAGGAAATGCCTGTAATTCCTCGCTCAGCAAAAGCTGCCCAAAGAAGTGGCGCGAAGTGGTCCCGAGACGCAGCCACAAATGCGACTGCTGCTCGACGACGGTTTTGGACGCTGTTTTTGTAGCGCTGTCGTGTCGCCATTTAAATTGTTCTTGCTTTCTTTTATTTTCTTACCTGGCTCTGACCATTTGCAAAGCAGCGTGGACTCCAGGCTGTCGCCGTTGAATCGCATTTATGGAGAGGTGCTCTTAGCCCAGCCACTCTGCGTGCTGGCATTCGCGGGAATGAGCAATCGAGGCGGTATAAAATACTTGCCACAAGCGAGAACGTCGAATGAAATAAGCCACCGAGTTAAAAAAGAGACAAGCTCTTATCGCTCACCGTTCCATAGTGAGCGTTGATCTTTCTCGGAAGGTTGCATGCTTTGGCGAGCTGTCGCTGAAGGGTGCAAGATTCCTTGCGTCGATTTCCACTCCTTTAGGTGTGTGCCCCACGTTTTCTCACTACAGTTTCTTCTTTGTAGGTTACGCACGAAAAAGGAAGAATTCTAACGTTTTGCGTTGTAGTCAGATAATTTCTAGAATCAGGATTATGATATAATTCAAAGAGGCATGATGCAATTCAATTAATGATATCATTTGGTGTTCTACGTGCCATAACCCCGATATCATTACGAAGGACGCCGTAGCAAAGAGCTCCAAAAAGTTTGCTTATCTCGAATTTTTTAACGAGCACTCACATAGCATGGTGCACAGGCCTCTAGCATTCGTATTTCATTGAAATGTGACCTGAGCCGAACCTGCGACCTTTGGGTCGGCAGCCGAGAACGGTTTCCGCTATCACCGAGGCAGACTCAAGTGTTAAAAGTTGGTTTTGCGTTTAATTTGATTACGATGATGATGATCATGATGATTACAAATATGACTATAAAATATCGAACTGATGATATCTTAGAAAATACTATCAGCAGCAACCGGAATGTATGCAGAGAAATGTTTGCGCTACTTGACTTAGGTTGGCCCCACTGTGGTGGTCTATAGTGACTAAGGTACTCGACTGCTGACCCGCAGGTCACGGGTTCGAATCCCGGCTGCGGCGGCTGCATTTCCGATGGAGGCGGAAATGTTGTAGGCCCGTGTGCTCAGATTTGGGCGCACGTTAAAGAACCCCAGGTGGTCGAAATTTCCGGAGCCCTCCACCACGGCGTCTCTCATAATCATATAATGGTTTTGGGACGTTAAACCCCACATATCAGTCAATCAATTCGAAAGTAGACGCTATTAAGCTTTTCAGGAGTGCTCCTTATAAAATCTCCACCCCAATGCCATGGATGCATTGTGCCGGTTCCAAAACTGCTACAAGACTGACCAAACACGTATGTTGGCCTACGCCTCTGGGCGTGAGCACTTCACTGATCCGTGGATTAGCATTTGATAATCCTGCATTGGGAGTGCACAGTGCAGTGCATGTCTCTTCTGTTCGCTACAGAGAACAATTTTCTATACCGCAAATACGTTTATTCAAAGGTAGGCTGCATTACACGGGAATTTAATATAGGGTAGCTAAGCCACGTTTACATATTGCTCATGTGAACTACTCTTACGAAACTTGCAGAATTTCTACGACTGTATGCGTCTGGATAACCGTGAACGTGTGGCTCATTGTTTCGCGAGGATAAAGTGGGGAGGCAAATGACCTACGCGCGTACTATTCTGGAGCACCGTAGAAAAGTACTAGGGACAAGCTTCTCAGTGAATGCGCTTTACTGCAGTCCTATTGTCTGTCGCAGTTTTCCAGGGTAATTATTAAAAAATGTTCCAGCAAAAAAGAGCGTAAAAATAAATGTCTCGAGGGAAACGAAAATCAGTGGAATGAAAGAAATGCACCCACCAATCCCAACCAAAGGGTGATGGCGTTTAAAAAGTGTGTGCACGCGGAACAGAGGGGGCCAGCGTGGCCACCCTGACGCTGAAAGGCACTCAAGCGCCGAGCATATCCCACTCGATATCAATCACCAGGGCTTGCCCGCCGCCGCCTGGACCCCGTCTAACACAGGGACTCGACCACTCCATTTTACTACGTTCTACGACCTCTTTCGAAACGCCGGTGGCATCCTTCTCCTTTCAGGCAGCCCCCGCTGGACGGAAACAGACTATCGCTCAATCGTCGCCCCCAACCATGGCGAAATATAATTCAACAACAGATGACGACTTTCTATCGTCCATCTATTTGTCCCGGAGGATGCCCACAGCGTCCTACATTGTGCAC